AAATAAATAAATGTAGTTCGTTTGGACACTTTTTATCGAAATCGCGATAGAAAAATAAGAGGCTTGCAACGTTTCGTTTGTTGTAAAGGAGTCGTAGAGTAAAAAATAATCCATCATTCACAAGGAAAAATTAGGCACAGTGAATGCTGGGAGTACCCCCCCACAAACAGTGCCAGATGCAAAATTAGAGCGCTAATATATATATATATATATATATATATATATATATATATATATATATATAGAAATTCATTTTGGGATTTAGAGTAATCATATATAGTAATTCATCGAGTCTTAGAAGAATCCTCAACAGTAAGCAGAAAGCACCGGACGGCCGTTTCGTCCTATTTTGGACTCATCAGCAGTGCGCATCCACTACCGAGAATCGAACACGGACCGTTTCGATACAACGCAAACATCATGCCAATGGGACTCTTTGGAACTGTTTGTGGGGTTTCCTGTACTTGAAGGAGTAGCATCACGGACTGAGTGTGTAGCGGCGCTATATCGAGTCTAATCAGATTCTTCTTCGTCGCCGAGGCCCGTTGTTATGACGCTTGCGTTGTATCGATTCTCTGTAGTGGATGCACACTGCTGAGGAGTCCTAAATGAGACGAAACGGCCGTCCAGTGCTCTTTCCGTATTCTGTTGAGAATTCTTATAGGATTCTCTAGGACACAGGGGGTTTCAGCAGGTAAAAGAGAAGACTTTAGTCATGGGAAGTGAGGAGTAAGGACAATAAAGGAACAGGATTTAGAAAGACAGAAGATGACGATTGACGTTGAATTTAAAAGTTTCAAAATTGTAGTTGTCAGGGAAGCAAGAAATTAGAAGGGATTTCCACAGGTGAGAAGTGCGAGAAAATGAAATATTAGAATAGAACATATGGTTGCATCTAGCTATGTCAACAGTAAAACAGTGAAATCTAGTTGCCAATCTAGTAGTTTGCTTAAATTCATGCAGTCGAGTCACTAATGATAACAGCTTTATCAGAACAGTTGAAATTATTTGTAAAAATGTCAGAGGGAAGCCGCGTAAGTGACTGAAATCGAGATGCCTGGCCAGGATTGATTACATTTACTTTGAATTTTTTCAAGAATCTCGATGTATATAGTAGGAGCACCAGACCAGATAGGGCTACAGCATTCAATAAACAGACGTATGATAGATTTGTAAATGTGCAAGATGGGATTCTAGTGAGAAAAATTGTTTGGTACGACACTGAGCCGACTTTTCTAGCAGTAGACTTAGCAATCGATTAATTATAATCACCGCATTTCATGTCAGTGGAACATGTAAGCCCAAGAAGATGCAAAGTACTGTCCGTCTGGTGTTTATCATCAGCCATAATTATGCCAGACAGAAAAAGGTTCTCTGTGGACTACCGTCGTAACCGTAAGCCTTGTGGAGATCTCCAGGGGTTGGACAAAATAATTGGAATAGGTGCAAATTCCACTCCAATATTTCAAAGACTTAGTATATTAAGAACTTTAACTAAAACTTCGTAATTGAAGATTATATCTATTTTAAATACGTTTATTTATCTAATTTACTGTCTTTTGTTTATTTATTTTTAGAATTTAGTAAAATTTAAGCTAAATGCGTGACCTCTCCGAATTCGAAAAAGGGAAAATTGTTGGAGCTTGCATGGCAGGAGCCTCGATCACTAAGGTTGCATAACTGTTTGATTTTCCAAGAGCTACCATATCAAGAACTATGACGCAATTAAAGAAACAGGGCAATTCGGGCCGGACTTGCAAACTTACTGACAAGGATCGACGTGCATTGAAACGCAATGTAGAAAAAAATCATCGGATTACTGCGGCCAAAGTGACTGCTCAATTGCATAACCATCTGGATAGTTCAGTTTCTACTAAATCTGTTCACCGTGAGCTCCATAAGGCTGCATATCATGGAAGAGCCGCTGTGAGGAATCCTTTTCTCTCCACTTACAACATTCAAAAGAGGTTGAAGTGGTGCAGAGATCACAATGCCTGGTCTGCAGACCAATGGAAGCAAGTCATATTCTCAAACAAGTCCAGTTTTTCTCTTTTCCCAATTTCAGGGCGAGTTTATGTATGAAGGCAGCCCAAACAAGCTTACAACCCTAACTACCTTCTTCCAGCAGTGAAGCATGGAGGTAGATCAGAGATAGTTTGGGTCGCCATATCATGGAAATGTCTCAGTCCAATAGTTGCCCTGCATGGTAGAATCAACAGCAAAGATTACCTGAACATTTTGGGAGATCATGTTCATCCAATGGCTAAGACTTTATTCCCCGATGGTGATTGCATCTTCCAATACATACCGCTCGAATGATTAAGAATTGATATGAAGAGCATGAAAGTGAGCTAGAACACATGGAGTGACCTCCCCAATCTCAAGATATCAATATTATTGAACATTTGTGGTGCATTTTGGATCGACAAGTTAAGAGCCGCTATCCTCCACCGTCGTGTCTTAAAGAGCTGGAGATGGTTTTAATGAAAGAATGGCTGAAAATTCCTCTGGATGAAGCCAGGAAGCTATATGATTCCATTCCTAGACGTATTAAAGCGGTATGTGAGGCTAAAGGATGACCGACTCCATATTAATTAAATTTTCTTTGAATTTAGCAAGTGTTCCAATTATTTTGTCCAACCCTATATATATATATATATATATATATATATATATATAATTTTCTTTGAATTTAACAAGTGTATTTTGTCCAACACCTGTAGTTTATAAATGACTAACAGTAGAGCCCGGCGTTGCCCGGGGATGTTACAGTAAGAGATAGATCAAGTACCGACAATCATAAAGACTGAAAAATAAAATTGACAAAGATTATTGTTTAAGGTTGACGGACACGAATGTCTTAATTATTATTTTTTTTTTTTTTTACGAATTGGTCAAACCCAAACTCAAACAAAAACATTGTTTTCAATCGTTATGAGTCTATCGATTGAATAGAATTTTATTATAAACAATTGTCTTGTAAATGGAATTTTTAAAGCATTCTGAATGTAAAAATAAAGATATCAGTATGCAAGACAATAAGAAACACTACCTGCCCCCAAAAAGTTTTGTTGAAATCGGTTGAAAAATGTAGGAAATCCGATCCCATATATAAACGAACACACACACACACACACACACACACACACACACACACACACACACACACACACACACACACACACACAAAGAACCTGGGTTTTATAATAAGTATAACTCTATATGAGTTGTTCCACTTTCATTCTCGCGATAGCGATGCTTTTTAATCGTGTTTTCAAATTGATTTCGTGCAAAAACAATTGTGTTTTTTCAATTTTTGCTGCTATCAGAACCACCGCAAGGTAAGTTTACGTAATCCTGTGAAGTTTTGTTGAAATCGGTTGAAAAACGTAGGAAATTCGATCCAATATATAAACGAACAGACACACATCCTGGGTTTTATAATAAGTATGATATCAGAAAGCATAGACGTAGTCGCGTCTATATCACTCAGTAGAGACTGTTTTCGGGGACTGGGGCAGCGTTATTACAGATGAACCGAGGGTGGGGTCAGAAGAGATTTTCAGAACAAAGCACTCTGATGTATCAACAATAGAGGAGAACATTTCAAAGTGATTTAACAGCGAAGGGACTGATGATTTTCTCTTGTTTAGTACACTCTTGCAGAGCCGCCGGTAATCTCTACAACCAAACTTGCGAGAGGCAATACGGTGTCTCATTTTATCAGTGAATAGTAACTTTGCCACTTTGAAGACATACATATATTCTCCATGAGTGGTGACAAAGAGATATCTGTTTCATTCAGACATGTCGCTATAGTATAGCCGGAGAAAGTGATTCCTGTGGGCTAAAGTGGCTGAACAGGCAGGAGAGAACTACTTGGTATGTCTGTCCGGCATGAAAGCTTTCACCCAGGAAGAGACATAAGTTGCACGTTTCTCAACAAGATAATTTAAAAAAATAATTCCAAGTAACATCGCGAAGGAAATCATGAAATGAGTTCCAATCTGTCCGTTGATAAGAGAAAATTGTTCTGTTAATAAAGAGTTCTTTTAATAGGCGGCCTGATGGGAGAATGGAGAAACATCTATATATACTATCGCATGGTCGGAGTTGCCAAGAACACAGAGCTGCTGAGCATGACATGAGTTCGGGGGGAAGTAAGGAAAAGATAAAATAGAGAAGCGTGTTCGTCAGAGTCACTAGGGATCGGAATTGCGGAGATATAGAGGCCGAAACGTTGTGAATGTGGCAATGAAGATGAGGATAACAATTTGAATAATGTAAATAATGCAACGTAAAAAGGAATTAAATCAATTGTTTGAAGAAAAATTTCAATTACATGAAGAAACGGAATTGCGGAGATATAGAGGCCGAAACGTTGTGAATATTGCAATGAAAATGAAGATAACAGTCCGAATAATGTAAATAATGCAAGTAATCATAATACCTCACCTCAGAGATATAGACAAATATTGAAAAAAGTTCCAATCACCTGAAGAAGGCCTGAGCGTACAACGGCCGAAACGTTGTGAATATGGCAATGAAAATGAGGATAACAGTCCGAATAATGTAAATAATGCAAGTAATCATAATACCTAATCTTAATGATATAGACAAATACTGAAGAAAAATTCCACTCACCTGAAGAAGGCCTGAGCGTACAACGGCCGAAACGTTGTGAATATGGCAATGAAAATGAGGATAGCAGTCCAAATAATGTAAATAATGCAACGTAAAAAAGAAATAAATCAATTGTTTCAGCAAAAACATATTTTCTCTCGTAATTTTTCCAATTTTTTCGTATTTTTAAGTTAATTAACTTTATGAGAAATTAAATGAACCTTTTTTTCTGCATTGTCGTAACGTTTACTTAGGGTAGGTGGTAATTGATATGTTTCAAATTATTCTCGTATCTACTGAGTAGGAAACATTATTTATCCGAATGCAGTTATTACTTATTTATAGTGATGTTTGTTAATTTTTTATTTATTTAATAATTAAGACTCATCATAAAAATGAAACAGAAAAAAGGTGAACTTTTCACGGGTATTTCTGTTAAAAATAAGAAGAAAGAAAGGAAGGACGAAAGAAAGGAAGAAAGGGGGAAAGAAAGAAAGAAAGAAAGAAAGAAACAAAGAAAGAAAGGGTGAAAGAAAGAAAGAAGGGAGAAAGAAAGAAAGAAAGAAAGGGCGAAAGAAAGAATGAAAAATAAAATGGGCGAAAGAAAGAAAAAAAGAAAGAAAGAAGGACGAAAGAAAGAAAGACGGAAGGACGAAAGAAAGAAAGAAAGAAAGAAAGAAAGAAAGAAAGACGAAAGAAAGAAAGACGGAACGACGAAAGAAAGAAAGAAAGACGAAAGAAAGAAAGACGGAAGGACGAAAGAAAAAAAGAAAGAAAGACGAAAGAAAGAAAGACGGAAGGACGAAAGAAAGAAAGAAAGAAAGAAAGAAAGAAGGAAGGACGAAAGAAAGAAAGAAAGAAAGAGAGAAAGAAAGAAAGAAAGAAAGAAGGAAGAACGAAAGAAAGGAAGAAAGAAGGACGAAAGAAAGAAAGAAAGAAAGAAAGAAAGAAAGAAGGACGAAAGAAAGAAAGAAAGAAAGAAAGAAAGAAGGACGAAAGAAAGAAAGGGCGAAAGAAAGAAAGAAGGAAGGACGAAAGAAGGGGAGAAAGAAGGAAGGACGAAAGAAAGAAAGAAAGAAAGAAAGAAAGGAAGAAAGAAAGAAAGAAAGAATGAAGGAAGGACGAAAGAAAGAAAGAAAGAAAGAAAGAAAGATGGACGAAAGAAAGAAAGAAAGAATGAAAGAAAGAAGGACGAAAGAAAGAAAGAAAGAAAGAAGGAAAGAAGGACGAAAGAAAGAAAGAAAGAAAGAAAGAAAGAAAGAAAGCAGGAAGGACAAAAGAAAGAAAGGGCGAAAGAAAGAAAGATGGACGAAAGAAAGAAAGAAAGAATGAAAGAATGAAAGAAAGAAGGACGAAAGAAAGAAAGAAAGAAAGAAAGAAAGAAAGTCAAGATTAATTAAGCGATAACCTTCCCATACGTTTAAAAACTATTTCAAAGAAATTTTGAACATTTTCAATTTTAATTTTTTTCATTTGTACCTTGTTTTTTAAGTAAAAATATAATTATAATCCCTAATGCAATATTTTGTTAAAATTGTTTAGAGCAAATATTTAAAAATGCGATAAGGGGGATTTCCATGGGGTTTTTTTTGTCGTCGTGAAAATAGCAAGGTGTGTATTCACTTATTAAATTGATTAATATGACTCATCATAAAATTGCTAACATAAGGAATAGGTGAAATTTAGTATTTAATTTTAATTAATAAATATGACTCACCTTAAAAGTGCTAACCTATCAGAACAGGTGAAATTTAGTAATTAATTTTCAAGCTTTCAAACTTAGTGCTTTTTATATTGGATATTTAAATTTATTTTTTAAATTTTCGTTTAAAACAAACAGACAAACAAAAGACTTAAATATAGGTATCTAAAATCTCTGTATATTTTTCATCAACTGTTTAACAGTTAAACGTTACTTTTCCAGTACAAATGACTTCGTTTCTATATAGGTATACGGATATATCAGATTGGATCTTACAAGATCACCAAAATTGAGGAGGAATAATTGTGGATCCAAATTCAGTTATTTCCTGCTATTTTATAGTGGTATTTGTGAACTTTTTTTTTTTTTTACTTATCCTGATATATATTTGGGAACATTCATAAATTTTAAAACTCGAGAATACCCGTTTACTAGGGCGGCTACCCAAATCCTTATTGCAGACGATTGCTCAGGCACACTTATGTTTATTCAACACCCAAACAGCCCACCTGTGGTATATACTGCAATTATGCTGGGCAGACCTTAGTTACAGTTTCTGGGAAAGAGCCTGATATCTAACGTGATCAACAGCTTGAACAAGGCCAGCACGCTCTTGGTACTAGGCCACGATGACTTGTGACTTGTTCACTCACAAGGTTTGGGTCAAACCATGGTATGGTTTTCAGGCATTTTTCAAAGGTGCTGCACGCTGGGGTCGACCCTCCAGTTCGATAACATCAGGAAATCTTCTTCCTGATAAATCAGCCAAGGTGAGATTCGAAACCGGACCTCATGGTCAGAATTTGAATGTTCTGTCACGTGCCCATTAGCAAGTTTACCCATAGCCCGAAACACCTAATTCGGAAATTTCAAAAATCAAATAGATAAACTGATAGACAGAGCTAATCCATATTATTTACCTTAACATGTTTGAGAGAATATATATATATATATGTATGTAAGTGTGTATTTACCATCGTACAAGTGTATGTACAGACGGACAGGTAGACGATGTCAGGGTTAACGCCCACTTGGCTGTTGATTGTTGATATCTGACGTCAGTTCTCTGAGATTTGAAAGGGAAATCCGTCTATGGCCTTGGCTATGAGACATCGATCTAATTTCATTGTATTCAAAAGGTAAATAATCAAGTGTGACGTCATAGCTTCCCTGTTTTCTTTCCATTACAATTTTCATGAGTCATATTGATGAAATCACCTGTAAAACCACTATTCTTTGCAATCATCCACCCTGCTTACCCGGATTTTTTATGTTTTTCATTTTTTTTAAAAAAAAAATATTAAACAAAAAAAAAACTTATTTTAGTTCGTGTTCGTGTGGCTGTTCAGCCTAGGCGCCCGCTCCCGGCGGGATCTCCGCAAACGAGTCACACTATCGGGACAACAATTTCACAAATAAAATGTTTGTCAACTGATATCATTTCCAGGTTTCTTTGATAGCGGAAAGTATAGGAGAACAGGATATATCATTTTTTTTTTTAAAATATCAGAACAATTCAAGGAAATTTAATGACAAAGAAGAAAAAAAAAATTGTCGCATGACACGTATCGTGCTTTCAGACTTCTTCTGACTAATATGATGTTAACGCTGATGTAACTACATATGCGCACGAAGAAGAGGGGACCCCTCTTCTTCGTGCGCATATGTAGTTACGCTGAAATTTGAAACGTTTAAATGAATCTTTTTTTTATAATATTAATTATAATAATATATAGTATAACCATTTTAATTTCGTATCTTTCTTTTTGTTTATAGTTAAATAAATATAAAGATCATACATATATATACATATATATATATATATATATATATATATATATATATATATATATATATATATATATATATATATATATATATATATATATATATATATATATATATATATATATATATATATATATATATATATATATATATATATATATATATATATGTACACACACACACATATATATATATATATATATATATATATATATATATATATATAAATAATAGATAGAATCCAGGTAGAACACAATGTCCAAGACAGATTAAGTATAATATAAAAGGCCCAAAACACTAATATTCCATGGTTATAATTTATTATATTGGAATCGTAATCACAATCCTGTTCATCAGACCTACAAATTAAATATATATATATATATATATATATATATATATATATATATATATATAT